TTTAGTAGAGATGAGGCTTTGCTATGTTGGCCAGGCTGGTCTTAAACTCCTGACCTCAGGTGATCCACCCGCCTCGGCCTCTCAAAGTGTGGGGACTACAGGCGTGAGCCACTGCACCTGGCCTATGTAAGTCTCTTTTCTAATTTCACCAGTTGCCTTGTACTGTAATAGTATATAAATTTTATCTATACTTACACAGCTAAAAATGCTACAAATTCCATTTTTAACTCTTTAAAAATGTTCCCATTTCTGCTCCTCTATTGCTTAATTTTATCCATAAATCCTCTCTGTTTATTGCAATGGACACGTAAGTTTTCCATTAGTACAGTACGGGACTATAACATTTACTTCCACGGGAAAGCAAAAGGCAACTGGTCAAATACTCAGTTATGGGGAAACGAGGATGCCCACAAATCTTCACTGTGCAACTTTTTAAAGCTATGACAAAGGTGACTTGAACTCCATCGATTGCTTCCACGAATACTTCACCTTCTTTAGTTTTTGCTAAGCACACTAAAACTTGTGGGGAGGACACAAAGAGCTTACATACTAACACACCTGGGAAAAACACAGAAATCCATGTGCTAAGCTGAAAGAACTCCCAGTTTCACTTTGCTTTTCATTAGAAATGGTGTGCTGTTAAATTCCTAAGGATTCGTCACCTGCCCCCTGCTTGGTTAATTCAACCTTAGTTCTACTGACCCAGCATTTGTACTTCTGTACTTCTTTTTAATTTAACCTTACAAGTTAGAGCAATGTAATCACGAATAAAACTCTATTTTTTGTTTTAATGTAGAAGTGACTGTAGGAGTCACTTCTGCATTAAAGTGACAGATACAAGTACAACGAAAATCTATGTATTACTTTTAAGAAAATTTTAAGAGCTTTTATTTCAAACTGTATCTAAAAATACTTTCACTGCAACCAGAAATCTGGTTACTCCTCAGGAATACACTAATACAATTTCACCTGGATATGAATTCATTAAACAACTGTAATATGAAAAAGAGAACTCTAGGACAGACAAATGAAATTTCAAAATATACACAAATCACAGAGTGATGAGAAAGCTTTACTGCACTGTTTTCGAATTTAGTCAGTTAAAAAATTTGAGTATTTTTTTGAAACAGGTCTTGCTATGTTGTCCATGCTGGTCTTAAACTCCTGGGCTAAAGCGATCTTTCTCCCTCAGCTTGTCAGGTAACTGGGATTTGCAAACACTCTGCTTCACAATGGTGTTTCAAAGATGGGTACATATTTGTTGTATATTTCAAAGTCTCACATTAACAACTATCACCTGCATTACTCAACACTTATTATAAGCAAGACCTTGTGCTGAATATGAAATAAATACCTCATCTTTAAAATTAGGAATCTCTTCATTTCAAAGATGAGTCGAAAGTGCAGGGAGTGAACGTGATTTGGTCAAGGTCGCACAGGAGGTGGTGGGTCTGGAAAGTGAATTGGGCCTGTCTCTTGACCACTTTGCCACACTGCCTCCATGCACGCTGATGCTCACCTACAATCCCTGTGCCAACACCATAACAACATGGGATGGTGTTCCAGAAAGGCCTTCCACTGACAAAATCAAACGAAGTCATTGGAATAGTGTCCGAGTCAGAAATTTAAGGGCAGGGACCTTAGAGATTAGAGGTCATGAGAGGTTCAAACTTCTCATTTTAGATGAGAAATGGAAGTACTAGTTGGTGGCACAATAAGTTCTAGTTTCCAAGTCCTCACCTATGGTTCAGAGATTTTCCCATTCTGCTTAATCATAGAAAGCTCAGAGACATTATTTATTTTTTCCTGTTGCCCAGGCTGGAGACTCGATCTTGGCTCACTGCAACCCCCAACTCCCAGGCTCAAGCGACTGTCCCACCTCAGCCTCTTGAGTAGCTGGGACCACAGGCACGTGTCACCACATCTGGCTAATTTTTGTACTTTTTGTAGAAATGGGGTTTTGCTATGTTACCCAGGCTGGCCTCGAACTCCTGAGCTCTAGCAATTCACCCGCCCAGGACTTCAAAGTGCTGGCAATACAGGTGTCAGCCACCACGCCCGACCTCAAACATTGTCTTCATAGGATATTTCCAACTTAGTTGAAAGGCAAGACTTTTATGACCTAATCAGCAAAAAATATAGGATATATAGTATACAGTAAGCGTAAAGGTGTGTGTTACAAACTAGGCATATTACATCTGTAAGAATAGAATGGAGACAGAGCTGCTTGGGGAAGCCTCAGGGGTGCGGGGTGACAATGAACTGGAAGGAAAGCGGGGGTGGGAGGGGCAATTAAGCATGTGTGCATAGGGGGAGGGGACTTGACCGCGAGCATGGCACACTTGTGAGACAGTAAGAAAGCAATCCCAATCATAATAGAAAGTAGGCCATGGAGACCAGGCACGGTGGCTCATGCCTGGAATCCCAGCACTTTTGGAGGCTAAGGCAGGTGGATCACCTGGGGTAGGAGTTTGAGACTATCCTGACCAACATGGTGAAACCTCTTCTCTACTAAAAACACAAAATTAGTCATGCATGGTGGCAGTCGCCTGTAATCCCAGCTACTCAGGAAGCTGAGCCAGGCAGGAGAATCACTTGAACCCGGGAGGCAGAGGTTGCGGTGAGCCAAGACTGTGCCATTGCATTTCAGCCTGGGCAACAAGAGAGAAAGTCAGTCTCAAAAAAACAAAAAAGGAAAAAAAGAGAAAGTAGGCCATAGAAAGTAGAAGGGAAAAATGATGGGGAGACTCAGCTATGAAGGGCCTTCACAGCCAGACAGAAAAATGGAGAGTACATTAGTAACTAGGTGACCAGGGCAGATTTGTGAGGGGGCCCCTCATCAATGAAGGTGATGAGTTAGAAAGATGCACCTGGCTCTGATACCAGAGACTGTTAAGGAAGAGATGAAATTGGTATAAAATGAAGATTTTTGTTTGGGAGTCAAGAATGAATTTCTTATTTTGTGCTCACTACAAAGATTGATCAATTTTTTGAGATTTTTTAATCCATAAAATGATTTATGTACTTCTATATATTGTATATAAATATGCATATATAGTATATATAGTATATAAAATATATATTTTATACTATATATAAATATACATATATAGTATAGATGGATATATAGTATATAAAAATATATATATACACACACACACACACCTTTCTTTGAAATGGAGTTTTGCTCTTGTTGCCCACGCTGGAGTGCAACAGCGCGATCTCTGCTCGCCGCAACCTCCACCTCCCAGGTTCAAGCAATTCTCCTGCCTCAGCCTCCCGAGCAGGTGGGATTACAGGCATGCACCAACACGCCCAGCTAATTTGGTATTTTTAGTACAGACTGGGTTTCTCCATGTTGGTCAGGCTGGTCACAAACTCTCGACCTCAGGTGATCCGCCCACCTTGGCTTCCCAAAGTGCTGGGATTACAGGCATGAGCCACCGTGCCCAGCCTAAAATAATATTTTAGAAGGACTATGAACTAGGAATATTTTCTTGGATAATGTTATCATATTTACAGAAACAAATATTTAATGAAAAAATATTATCATAGCAAGGTTTTATTGACTTAATTGCTTATTTTCTACTTACCTAAGAAGATACCAGTAACATTCTGCACCAGCAGCATTTGATGAGAACACTGATGCAATACTGTCAACCAATCACATCACAACCAGATACAACCAGAACAGGCAGGGCTGTTACATTTCTTATTCAGTTTTTCAAAATAAGCCCCTTAAATTAACACATCAAGCTATTTAGGTCTAACTATAGAATCCTTTTCTCTGTTAAGATTTTCCCAAGGACCATATTAGGAAAGTAGCACGTTTGATTGTAAACAGTTGGCAACTAAATAGATGAGACTATACTCTTGGTCAGTGAATATATTTTATCTTTTCTGCCTTGCTTTTTGGTGACAATCATTGACCTATATCCCCTCTACAAAGTGGTTAGCAGATGAAAGTCAAGGCTATTTGAAGAGACTTGGTAAAGTTGTCTAAAAATATTAGTTCTGACTATACTCCAAAGTCATAGTTCTGAAAAACATTGCTATAAATACTTTTAGGTCATGCTAGAATCAGTCCCCATATTAAAAAGCAGCACATGAAAGAAAACAAGAATATGACTTGTGACATGTTTCTTTTAAATTCCAATCTAAGAAGCCTCCTTGCATATCTAATTACAGACCTTCATTTCACAACCATGAGCAGGTAAGTTTCCATTCTAGAAACAGCACCAATTATTAGTTGTTACTTGAAACCGAAAAATTGAAGAATCTAACAGAGAACATGGCAGTTGACCACAAATACTTTGTTCTCTTCCAAAAATTCCTTAAAACTACAGTACATGAATTTTTCAAAAGTACAAATCCATCAAGTCAAGGAGATTGGAAAAGAAGCTGACATGAAATGAGAGACATCTACATTTTGGCAGCTGGAAAGCAAATAAACAAGTGGTGATTTTTCTTAGGAGCCAAAACAAAGCTAACAACTAGTTACAGGCAAGGAAGCAACAAGAAGCGGGGCTTAGGATGAGGAGATATCAGACAGGCTTGGCTCAATGTGTGTGACTAAGTTACAGTTAGAAACACTTAGTGGAAGGATCAGTCCCTGCAAAAAAAATGCTTGTGTGCACTCATAAGACAGACTAGGAAATTGAGAGAAAAGGGTTTTACTGAAAAGTTTTCACTGCTGGGTTCTAAAGTATCTGCCTTGATGGGTTCGTATGAACTAATGTACAGACCTTTAGTTTCTGATGAAAAATAAGCTCAGCTGAAGTAGCTCATGCCATCTGCAAACTCATCAGCAATAATGTAAATAAACAGAGGGAAAACACAATTAAATTTTAAAACCCACTTGAAATGAAATGAATTTGTCTGTCTCTGTGTATGTAGTGAGTATGGACCAAAATATGTCATTTCTATTGCTCAGCAGCAAAGCTGAAAATAGCAAACAGTTTTCAGATCAAAATGAATGTCTCATCTTATGTGGTTTTTACCTGGTTGGAGCTTACTGGGATGATGCTGTGTTCCGGCTCCAGGTAGGGGAGGTGGGCTTACCCCTGCAGGCCCAGCACCCTGGGTTGGGCTCACACTGGTTAGAGTCCCCGTAGGCAATGGCTGGCCTCTCTTTAATAGCTGCTTCTGTTCTTGCTGGCGGAAGCGTGGAGGCACCTCACGAGGCAGGTAACGGGATGCAGCTGGCTGCTGGCCACCGGCACATGAACGTTTGCCATTGTTGCTGCTGGAGATAGTGCTGGTGGAAGTACTGGTACTGGTACCGGCAGGTTGGGGCTGGCTTGAACAGGTCTTAGTAGGTTCTGGCACTAAAATGAGCAAAAGGCAAAAGAACCCAAAACTTTAGCTAGACCCCCTTAAAACCCAACCCAGACCAAAGAAACCATAACCAAACACTGAGAAAAAATGACAATGCAGTGCTCTGGAAACAGAACTGGACTGAAGTCTAGAGTTCCTAGTTTTGGAAACAGAGCTGGACTGAAGTCTAGAGTTCC